GGAGGAATGCATCGGGTTTGTTATGTGATAGAAATGTACCCCTCAAACTTAAGGGGAAATTCTATAAGATGGTAGTGAGGCCTGCAATGCTTTATGGTGCCGAATGTTGGCCATTAAAAGAGAAGCATAATACTAAGTTAAGTGTGGCAGAGATGAGGATGCTCAGGTGGATGAGTGGCTTTACCCTTAGAGATAGGATACGAAATGAGCATATACGTGAAAAGGTTGGAGTAGCTCCAGTAGAAGATAAGATTAGAGAAAGTCGCCTTAGATGGTTTTGGTCACATAAAACGGCTGCCTTGTGATGACCCGGTTAGGAGAGTGGAGGTATTAGATTTGACTTATGTTAAGAAAGGTAGGGGTAGACCTAAAAAGACTTGGTTAGAAAATATTAGGAATGACCTTTCTTTATTAGATTTAAACGAGAATTTGACTTTTAATAGGACACAATGGAGAAAAAGGATTCATGTAGCCGACCCCACGTAGTGGGATAAAGGCTTGATGTTGTTGTTGTTGTTGAATTAAAATTTTCCATATAAAATAAAGAACAAATAAACTTTAGGACAACTGATTGCACAATTCTCATTTTAGTTCTCTGCGCAATACAACTACATAAGCGAAATCATGGAATTCAAAATTTCATATTCTCTGACTCCATACGGAATCTATAGTTTTGTGCATCCTAAAGCATGAACATCCTTTAAATGCATAAACAAGTCTTGGCCCCTTTGCTAAATTAACTAATTCCACATTAATCAAAACAAAAAATAAGAACAACAGTGTAGTACATTTAGAATAGTCAGGACTTCCAAAAAAAGTTGAATTATTTTCCTTATATGGAAATATTTATCCCCATAGTCTTAAACAACCTATTTATAAATCAAATGAAGAGACCATTAGAAAAAATTCTCCACAAAAGAGCTCTAGCTCAAGAAGCATGCTCCCTAGTTGCCAAAGCATAGGTCCCATGTTCGAGTCCAACTTTTGAACTTCTTTAAACTAAATATTCGCTAGCTTCTATTTGAAATGCAGTCTGTAACAAGTTATGCGCCCTCTTTATCTGTAACATGCCTTATAATAAAATATTTGGAGTAGGTTTCTATCCTTTGAGAAAATTAAAATGTTTTTAAGAAAATGACAGACAGTCCTTATGATCATCACTTTCCCATAACAAAAGCGTCAATATAGGTCTATTATATTCCAATTTTAACGCCATCCACAGATTAGGAACAACTAGCTTAGAAGTTAGAACACACGAGCCACAGATTAATCCAATCAATAAAATAGGTTCGTCGCATTCAATCATTAAGGAAACTATGAGAACATTCCGATAAGGAAATAAGCACATCAACTCTACAAATAGCCATAAAAAAGATATATACACTGATATGGTAAAAGCAAACAATAAGAGTAGCAAAGTACCTTGCCAAGGAGCGCATCTTCCCCCCACGTTAATGGGACTATCCGTGAGGGGAACCGATCTTTCCGAACGGAGGAACCGGAGAACACTTAAAAGACCAACAGTTCGTTGAATTCGCATGCTGAGATAGCCTTGAAGCGGGTAAAAGCAGCAGAGGAGTTCTTAGAGACGTAGGAAGAAATTGTCGGTGAATTGGGTTGAGGTCCGCTAGGCCAGTGATTGTTGATGCACCAGATTATCACACACCAGGCTCGGGTGACTAAATGTTCATGTACGCCGCGATGTTGAAGAAGCCGCCTTCTCAGTTGGCCGACGAGACAAAAAGAGTTAGGGTTTTCAATGTGTCGACTTCAGCTCTGGGTGAGATGAAGATGTAGACAACAGCGGCGGACAAGATGGCGGCGACAGCGTGGAGGATGGTGGAGAAGGTTAGCGAAGAATCGATTCAGGGTGACGTGGGCAACGGAGGGTAGTTGGTAAGGGGAAAACGCATAGAATCTATGCAAGCTTGAGTAAGCTCTGAAGATACACACTAAATAAATAGTAAATAATTAGTTGGGATGATTTGTTATTTGTTTGTTGAGTATCTATAAATATGTAGAGTGTAAGCAGAGCGTACGTAGTGCGTCCAGTAATCCAGAAGATCGTTTACGTTCAGACTCCGCATAGAATAATTTCCCGTTAGTAAAAGGCCTGGCGGTTGAAGGAAAGGTAGGGTGTGAGACCAATACGGAAGCGGAAGGAGAAATTATTTTGTACGGAATTCGGATGTAGCTCTGCCTCCAAACAACTCGTGAAAAGTGGGGGAAACTATTATGTACAGAGTCCAAACGTAGAGGATCTTCCGGATTACTGTGTACCTTATGTGTAAGCTCTGCGTATTTACTGCGTATATACTGCATATTTGTAGATACGCAATAAATAAGCAGCAAATAATTAGTTGTGAGGATTTGATGCTTATTTGCTACGTATCTACAAATACGCATAGTGTAAGCAGAGTGTAAGCAGAGCGTACGCAGTGCGTCCAGTAATCTGGAAGATCTTCTACGTTCGGACTCCGCACATAATAGTTTCTCGAAAAGTGGAGTGTACAAACATATATTTAATGTATTTTATTTTTTATTTCTCTCTTATTTGCCCGATCCATTTTGACTTTTTCAAATGCCAAATTTGTTCAAATTTAGGGTATAGGATTTAGGCTCATCTTTAAGAAAAAAAACTCATGAAAGCGCCCCAATATTTAGGACTTTTGTTACATAAAACTTTGGATATATGCTGCTGAAAGAAAAAATGAGTAACAACTGCTAAATATAAAGAATGTTTTGGAGAAGGAAGTTGCATTCTTCAAGCAGATGATATGCCCACAAGACACTGAGGCCGAATTGGATCAGTTGGGGGCTTGTTGTACATGTGGGGGCTCTATTCTATTCTTATTCTTGTTGTTAAGATTTTTAGTTTTACCTTTCTTGTTCTTTTCTCTTATTTTTATATCCTCATCCTAAGAAACTATAACATCTACGACTTCCTTTTTGCTATCGATAAGAGGAAGGGGGGCTATCTCCTTGCTATTTGTAGGAGAAGGGAGTGCAACAGCTGATGCTTCCTCCTTTTTGTAGACAGATGAAGGAATTACATTTGCTAGGGCTTCCTTCTGGATGTCAATAATAAGAATTGGGGCTTCCTTCTTGATGTCGACAGTTGGGGGGCTCACTGGTAGGATGAGGATGCATGCGATTGTTGGGGATCAAATTTATATTTTGTAAGATGGTGGATGATTTTGTATTCAAGAGAATCAATCTTTGCTTTCAGTTCATCAAGCCTTGTGCCCAACTTCTCTTCAATTTCATTGAATAATTTTGTACATATTTGTGTGGAGGGCACTTTGTAATTTTTTTTTTAATGTCAACCCAATCCTTAGCTGGTGTTGGAGGGGGGTTAGCCCACGGGGGGTTGGGGGTGGCTTGTTTAGGAGAATGAGGGGAGTTTACTGGGGACAATGAGGGATGGAAGTGAAGTAAGCAAATAAGTTATCTGCTTCCTCCTAGGTTACTCCCTTGAGGATATCAAAAATATGTACAAAAATTATTTTATTGTTAGCAAATCTCATAGCTCAGGGACATTAATTAAAATATGCTCTAGGACAAATCTTCATGTACCTAACATTCCTTTAGTATAGCAAATAAATTTATGATCTTTTTGTTAGAATAAAATACTTTTGTATTGCCTCATCGAAGAAAACATGGTCCTAAGTGAGGGTACTTAGGGGTATTTTATTGAAAAGTGCTCAAGGAATTAAATCTATATAAGATCAAATGTAATATTAGCTAATGAATTAGTAAAATAAATTAATAATTAGAATGATACATAGATGCTTTAACACTCACAAATTAGCAGAGATACAAAACTATTTATATAACCTAATGGTTTCTTTAAAGCAATCAGCCTGTCAATTTTATTGAATTCATTAACTAGAAGTTTCCTTAAAGTCCTGGCCCAGTTAATAGATGAGAACGCATAGATATTACTTGTAATAGTAAGGAGACTTCTTAAGGTTTTGATGTTATTTAGGGAAATAAATAAATTTGATAATAAATACATGATAAATATCTTTAACATAATGGATGGGTCAGTTGATCTGTTCATTTCTATCATCTCAGTCATAATTTTAGTTGATGTGAATCTTACAAGTGGCTTGCTCTATCATACGATCTCAACACCTCTATTTGGCAAATTAGTGAGCAGAGCCCCTTCCTTATATGTGAATTTTAGCAAATGACCTCTGATGATAAGGGAATGTTGAGACATATCCTAGAATTTAAGCATCTTGTATATCAGTGAAATATTTTGCTGAAATAATGGGAACTTAAAAAATTGATAAATGTGTAATCTTTTCAAGGTGTCCTTGATATTCTTGTTTATTATCTCAATGAAAGAGTTGCAAATACTTCTAAATATTGATACAAAGCAACGATAAGTAATAGGTCGAGTATACCTAGACATAAGCAAAATTTAAAAAAAAAAATACACAGTCAAAATATAGTAAATATGTAGTAAATACATAGTTGATACGAAATTGATATATAGTTGATTCTTACTTACACAGTAAATATGCATTAAATATGCATTTTATACATAGTAAATACGCGGTTGATGCACTTATGTAGTAAATACATAGTAAATATGTAATTTGAAAAAGGTATATAAAATGAACAAACAATAACACATAGAAATTTGAAAATTGTTCAACATAATTTTGGAAAGGAAAAACAATTGATATAGAATCGATACCATTAAATACATAGTTAATATGTAGTTAATACGTAGTTCATATGCAATAAATACACAGTTAATACATATATCAGATGTAATTAATATGCAGTTCATACATAGTGAATATATAATTAATATGAAGTTCATACGCAGTTAATAATACACAATTCATACGCAGTAAATATACAGTAAATTCTAAACATTAAACCCTAAAACCGATTTTGAGATATAAGCCAATAGAAGTATCTCTTTGAAGATGAATTGAACGAGAATGATAGATTAACCTTATTGGTGGATGATGAACTTAATACCTAAATGCAGTTGAACAAGGAACCATTTGGAATACCAAATTAAGCTGAAAGTGCACAATGAATGCCAAAGATGAAAGTGAATGCAATGAGCAGAGCCATTTCCTTATATGTGAATTTTAACAAATGACCTCATGTTGAACTGTTGAAGTTGAACGATTTTTTGGAAAGTATGGCACTTTGGCCTGTCGGTTTAACTATTGCTGGCTTATTGGTTATTTTCGATGGAGCCTGTTGCAATTTTCTATCTCTGGACGTTGATTTAGTGCTGTTAGAGTGTTAGTCTGTTACATACTTACATTAAAACTTAAAAGCATGTAAATCATGTAGTGTAACCTGTTGGCTGCACCTGCAAGAAGCTGGTATAGTGGTATTTACATGTATTTCTTTAAAATTTAATATTTTAGGATGTTCTTTAGCTCATTCATATTGAATTATTTATGATATTTAGCTATTGAGTTTTTGCTGTGTATAATATGAATTAAATCCTTTAATTGGTTCATTAGATGGAGGATTCAAACACACTTTCTGAACTTTTTATTGATGAGAATGAGGAACTTCACATTGAAGATAATGTGGTAGAGCCATCTAATGATGATTCAGCAGAAATTAAGAAGCGTAGGAGGATGACTTCCAAGGTTTGGGGGCATTTTGAGATGCTATCTAATCCTATAGATGGTAAGCAAAGGTGTAAATGTAAAAAATGTGGTGCACAATACTTGTGTGAGAGTAAAAATGGGACTGGTAACTTAAGAAGACATTTGCAAAATAGCAAGAAAAGAGATATACGTGACATAGGCTAGCTCATATTGCAAACCACCTTAAATTCTTCTATTTTTATGACTGATTATAAGTTTGACTCGTCAGAATTTCGTGATTTATTTACTGCTTGCATAATTGTACATGATTTGCCCTTCCAATGTGTTGAATGGTACGGTGTTCGAGTACTTTTGAGCTATCTTCATCGGGATGTTCAACTATTTTATAGGAATACAACATGGAATGATTGCAATAAATTTTAAATATTCGTTCACAATTATCTAAGTGCACTAGCAGAGTTTGTGTTACATCTGACCTGTGGACATCTATAAACACTGATGGATTTATTTGCTTAATCGTGCATTTTATTGATAATGATTGGCATCTACATAAAAAGATCATTAGTCTTTCTTTTATGCCACCATGCCATGATAGTATATCGCTGTTTGAGAAATTGCAATCTCTTTTTATTGAGTGGAGAATAGAATCTAAGGTTTTCATATTACATTAGACAATGCTTCTGCAAATAATGTTTGTGTTGATTACCTGAGAAACCAAATGAATTTGAGGAGTTCCCTTCTATGTGAAGGTGAGTTTTTTCATATAAGATGCACCGCACATATTATTAATCTTATTGTCCAAGAGGGTATGAAGGAGATTGATGGTTCAATCTTCAAAATCAGAGAAAGCATAAAATATGACAAAGGCTCTCAGGCAAGGAAGCAAAAATTTCTTGATTGTGTTAAGCAGAGTTGTTTGGAATCTAAAAGGGATTTATGACAAGATGTTCCTACCAGGTGGAACTCCACTTTTATAATGCTAGACAGTGCTTCGTATTATTGAAGGACATTTCAGCACCTAGAGTTGGGTGACTCCAACTATAAATTGTGTCCATCAAATTTAGAATGGGAGAGAGTAGACAATATTTATACTTTTTAAGGCCTTTCCACGATATAACATGTGTGATATCTGGCACAAAGTACCCAATAACAAATCTTTATTTTCCATGCATTTCGATGACTTATGTCGCATTGAAACATGAGTTGTTAGAGGGCCATGATTACATAAAGGAAATGTCCTTAAGGATGATTGGAAAATTTGAGAAATATTGGTCCGAATTTAGTATCATTCTCGCAGTAGCAGTTATTCTTGATCCAAGATATAAATTCACATTTGTGGAATGGTGCTATAGAAGGTTATATATAGGGAATTATGTACTTGAGCTTAAGAAAGTAAAGGATAAATTGTTCTCATTATTTTTCAATTACACAAGGAGTAGTGGGAATGTTGTATCTGGGTTTGGTTCAAATTCTCAAGAAAGGACACAAACTGAATGCTCCACTTGTAGTTCATCTACTGTTATTCAATCTCAATTCCTTCAGATAGTTAATGTTCTAATGTTAATTGATTTCATAAATTAATTTGGTTCATGTGTTAAACTCTACTTTCCCAAATAGGATTTCGATACATTTGAAGAGGAGGTTTATATGCCAAAAAAAATCTGAATTGGAGATATATCTTGATGAACCTAAACTTGATAGAAAAATTGAGCTAGATATACTACATTTCTAGAAAGACAATCAGTATAGATTCCCTGAAGTTTCTGCAATGGCTCGTGATATTTTTTTTATTCCTATAACAACAGTGGCCTCTGAAAGTGCATTTAGCAATAATGGTCGAATCCTAGATTAGTATAGAAGTTCACTGAAACCTGATATTGTTGAGGCTTTGGTTTGTGCTAAGGATTGGTTATATGGTGTAAGGGTGCATTTCAACTTTATTCAATATCACATTAGTTGATTACAATTAATTATGGTTTTGAATATCTATTTTTATTTGTTGCAGTTTTACATGACCCTGAACTTGAAGGTGTGACTGAAGATATTCTTGCTTTAACAGTAAATCAAGTTGAAGATGAAGTTGGGGAAAGTTATGTTATTAAGTAATATATGGTTCTAAAATTCTACCAGCTATGCAATGACTATAAATCCTGATTCCTAAACTATTATGTGACCTGGACTCTTCTTATTTCATAAACTATGGACCTACACTCTTCTTATTTCATGAACTATGCACTAGTTATATGGCTAAATCAATTTTAGTTAATATGTTATATTTACTAAATGCTAAAGTTGCTTCTGACTTGTGATTTGTGAGTAAGTTTGCCTTAGATCCGGCTGCTATTTTGGAATTTGTGAGTAAGTTTGCCTTAGATCTGGCTGCTTAAATATGAAGAGAATAAGCGATGATGATAGACCTTCTAAAATGAATGTGGGAAGATCCGAAGATATGTGTAAGTTCTAATTAGCTAATGTGATATTACAACTAGGAGGCATTTGTATTTACTTCAAAAGAGCAGATAATATCTAATTAAGTGAGCAAATACTAAGTGGGTACAAATTATTTCCTTGGATGGTAATATGCCTAATATTTATTAAACTTACACTTCATTATGTGATTAATGATTTGGAGGGTTTAATCTGAGCAATGTATTATATAATATATCTTAGAATTTTATACTTGTTTAACTAAGTTTATTGCAGTTTTATTTATAATGTGATAGGTGATTGAAGATAGATTGTCAGATTCAGACATTCTTGGACCAGTCGAGTCCGAGCCATTGAAGCTTCTATATTCATGTATTCACATTTGTTGTAAACTTTTGGCAGTTTAAAAAAATTAGTAATGACTAATGAGCAATTGATTTGTAAATTTTTTATATGTTATTTTTCATTGTAAATGGGATAATTAGCAATTGATATTTGTCTTATTTGATATGTGAGATTGTACCTTTGTAATTGTAACATGTAAATGATTTGCAGATTTGTAATTGTAAAAATTTGCCCATGGTTTTCAGTTTTCACTTTTCAGTCTTGTTTTTAGTCATTTAAAACCTGTTTTTATTGTGCAGCCGGGTCAAACGGGTCGGGTCGGGTTGACCCGAACTCGAAGCGGGTCGAGTTCGGGTCAGCATAAATGACCCATTTCAAGAAACAGGTCGGGTTCGAGTTGACCCGAATGGGGTCAGGTCAATTTCGGGTTGGACCCAAACCCGAACTGAAATCCATTTTTGACAGCCCTAATGCAAAGTGAACAAGCTATGAGACTTATGATCTCTTGCGAATTCAAATTTTTCTTGGCCTGGTTGATCGGGCTGATAAGATAAAAATAAAATACGAAATCCATTTTGGGTCAGGTCGGTCAGGCTGACAAGACAGAATAAAATAAGTAGTTCATATTGAATATCCACGTGTCATGATTTCATTGGAGTCCAGATGCAGAGCTACATCCAGACTCTACATAGAATAATTTCTCTGATTCTATAGGTATCATTTTCCCTTATGGTGAGACTTGAGAGCGATCAAATTCCTCTCATCCGAATTTTCTAATTTATTTTTAACCTATAAATTTAAGTAATCTTTTTTAAACAACTTTGATTTTTATATGATATTTTTTTATAATTATTATATTATGCGATTTAATTTTCTAAATTAAATTTTTATCAAAAGTTTTTTAGAAGATAATAAAAATATAATAGCCACACAATGAGCAACAACAATTTAAAAAGTAACATAATAACAAAGTTGACTCAAATAAACACAAAATTCCTAGTACATTTAATGAGGAGTTTATAAATTTAAATTTAATTTGTCTAACATATAATAGTTATGCTGAGAATTATTTTATTGTTTGTTTATTAGTAAAATTATTCCAATTATTTATTTATGAATTGTTAATACATCATCATAAAACTCATCATATAAAAAATAGATCTTGATGCAATATTTGATTAAAAAAATTTAGAAATTAAATTCAAAATGATCCAAAGTCCAATTTTAGGAAATGCATAGTAAAAAAGAACATCTCCATAAGACAAACCTAACAAAATAAAAAGTGATTTGATATGCATCCAAATGATCTCAAATCAAGCAGATATTATTAAACATCCATAACATTAAATGAAAAATCAAGCAATACATAGAAGTAGCATACTTACAATAAAAGATGAATGTATTGATGAGAGGAATTCAATCAACTCAAGTTCATTCAATTTTCAGATTATTATACTCAAATACTCAAAGAATAATCTATACAACAACAACCACAATATCAAACATTTATCCCACTACGTGAGGTCAGCTACATGAATCATAATTCTCTATTGTGTCAAGTTAATAGTCAAATTTTCCTTTAAATCTAACACTACAATATCAAAGTTATGGCGAAGACAAATTTCAAATTTATCTTATAATGACTCCTTAAAAAATTATTTATTTGATTCAAAATATAGGCTATTACATCGACTTCTTTTCTCCAATTTGAAATATTTTTGGAGCTAGCAGCACAAGTTCTTGTAGATTGTAAAGAGTGTGAAGTTAGTTTGCCAGTTTGTTGTTGCTTGAGCACACATTGCCCTCTATAGGAAGTTCATTTGTAGTCAGAAGAGAAATCTTCTCGTGAAGAGAATATTATTGAGGCCAACGTACTATGCAGCAGCTATAGCAAACTGAACCCAACCAAATCAGGCCAACCATCCTTGATACCAAGCTCGCTTAAGCGACGCACTCCTTCCCTTCCGGCAAATTATTAGGTCAGGTCACCGGACGTCTTCGGAACCCAATGAAAATGCGCCACATCACCTCCTACTCGGTACTGAGCTCGGTATTGAGCAGTACCAAGCAGTATCGAACTCGGTACTGCTCAGTATCGAGCTCAATACTGCTCGGTACTCAGTACTTCACAGTACCGAGCTCAGTAATGCTCAGTACTGTGAATACCAAATGTAAGCTGTGTTTGATGTCCGAACCCAATAATCTATCCCTTCTTCCTTGTTTTTCTCTCCTTCTCCACTTACAAAATATATATATTAGTCCATTTAATCTAAGAATGCGACAAAATATTTTAATATATCTTTATTAAATTAGCTTAGATTTTATATGGGTAATTAAAGTTATTTGTGTTGAGAAATATATTTATAGAAATAATGATTTAGCTCATAAGGATAGATTGAATCATGGCAATGAATAAAATAGGTCAATCTTTTCTTGGCAATTTCATCTTAATATTTATTAAATGATTTGGGCGACTCTAAATGAATGCTACCCTAAGCAACTTATGGTTTTTAGGAAGTAAATTCAATTGTTTGATGATTTGATTGAATCTAACTCATAATAGCAATGCAACTTGATTAATTCAATTCAAATAATACTTAGTGTATAGCTCATAACATTGATTAATTCAAACTGTATTTTAGCAAATAAATTAATAAATTAATGATTCGAATTCAAATTGATGAGAAAATAAAATTCTAATTACTCAATCGAGCTCTATTGGCATCTATACTCCACTTAATATGCACAAAAAACCAAAGCTTCGCTCAGGACAACTTTCTTACTGCTTTCTAAAACAGTTTTTTAGTAAAAAAAATTTCTTCAATTAGAAATTTTTGTACTAGAAAGCTGATTTAAAAAGAAGTAATAAAACTGCCCCAAACGAAACCTAACATTTTCCACGCCCATTAAATAAAATAACACAAGACATCTTAATTAGAAGTTTAAGCTTTCAAGCAACATAATATAATGGGCTACAAGAATTTTATTCTATTTAAAATACACAGGCTTAATTTCTCACCAAAAAAAAAAAATTCACAGCATGTAACATGGCCAGTTTCTCTCCCATTAACTTGCATTTCTCTCATATAAATAACATCAGTGCCCCTTGAACCGGTCCATCCCTCTGAACCCGTACGGGTCTACAGAAGATTTGGTGGATAAATTCTCTTCATTTGAGGGGAATTAGAGCAAAACCGAAATTGAGAAACCCTAGGACGTATCACCCCTCCAACAGAAAAGTAACACCAAGTATACACATATATACATGCTCAATCGTTCAGGCTTCATGAAATTGTTTGAAAATAAGGAACTATCCAAACAACATTAACAAATTTACATTCTTTTGCACAACAAGATACTGGCACTATCACCATCTCAGCCAAAAATCAAGTAGCCTTCTTGCATTTATACCTGTTGGCACAGAAAACATAAATCAACATGTTGAGAAAGCTAAGTCCAGCAATAAGCCAAAAGAAGTTATCAAGATGGCCCTCATTGAGGTTATCAGGAATCCATCCAGGTTTTCCTCCCCTTGTTGTCACAGATGTCACAATGGTTAGTATGAAGGAACTCAAATAGTTCCCAAGTGCAGTTGTCATAAGTGAGAGTGCACTGCAGAGGCTTCTCATTGCATCAGGAGATTGATCATAGAAAAACTCCAGTTGTCCAATAAATGTGAATATCTCAGCAGCACCGACCAAGAAATACTGAGGAATTTGCCACAAGATGCTCATTGGCACTGCAGCTTTTACATGCACTAAGCCTTCAGCTTTAGCAATATCTAATCTTCTAATCTCAACAAAAGCAGCAGCAGTCATTGCCAGTATTGAAATGAAGAGGCCAATGCCCATCCTTTGGAGCTCAGAGAAGCCCCTCTCTTTTCCAGTGATCCTTCTTGCTATTGGCACAAGGATGCTGTCGTAGACCGGAACCCATACGATGACGCTTATGACGTCGAAGGTTGATAAGGATGCAGGAGGAATGGTGAAGGATCCAATGGTGGTATTGAGGACCATTCCCTGTTCAACAAACATGGTTGACATCTGGGCATATACGGCAGAAAAAACGATTCCGGTGGCCCAGATGGGGAACATCCTGACCAAGATCTTTAGCTCCTCCACCTGGGTTACAGTGCAGAGTGTCCAAGGATTGGAAGAACCTTCTGTTTTGGTATCAAAATCTGACAAAGTAGCAGCCTTGTCAAGAAACCTGCATTGTGTTTTACAGAACAGCCATTGTCATGAATAAGAAAGAAAATTTTAGTGCCAAACCACAGCCTTTTGACAAACTGAAGCTCATAATAAACAATAGATGTTACTTTTATGCAGTTCAACGGCTAACAGACAAGTAAAGCAAAAGCGCATATAATAAGATTGAGGCTTCATTTGGGACGGCTTTCTTTCTGCTTCTTAAAGCAACTTTTTAGTACAAAAATAAAAAAATGGTACTAAAAATCTGCTTTAAGAAGCAATAAGAAAGCCGTTCCAAACGAAGCCTGAATCTAACAGACAGCAGAGTAGTTCAGAGGCTTACTTAAGCTCATCACTATGTTCCAGTTTTCGACTGCCTTCAATTGCTGAGCTCTTATCAGGAAGTTCATACAAGAGGGAGCTATCAAGGGGAACTTTTACATTCCACTTGCGAATGGAAGCAATCACCACTTGGCACACTCTTGTAAGTGGACTTCCGCCTGGTTTCTGGAACCTGTAAAGATATGTTCCAGAAAAAAAACTTCCGATTGCCAGTCCCATGAACAATGTTGGGATACCAAATCCAAGACCCCAGCCACAGTTATCTTGCACCCACACAAGAAAGCTGCTAGAAATAAGAGCACCAATGTTGATTGAGAAATAAAACCAATTGAAGAAAGAGCCCTTTCTAACCCTCTCCCGTGAATCGCTATCATCGAATTGATCAGCTCCAAATGATGAAACACAGGGTTTGATGCCACCAGTCCCTAAAGCAATCAGATAAAGACCCAGGAAGAACACAGCATATTGGATTGCTGTTGCTTCTGGACATTCAGAATCTACACAAGCAGGAGGCTTAAATTGTGGAACTGACGCTGAGAGTGTAAGTGTGGCCATTCCCTGTTCAAAATAAAAATATCATCGACCAATTAGGGAAATCATGAATTAAATAATGCATAGAATCAAATAACATAGAACAACTTGAGAATATCAGGGATTGAATTTCATCACATTGTAGAAATTTATGGCTGCAGATGAATTCTATGTTATTTTGGTTCTCAACCAAATTGTAAAATCCAAAATTTCATTAAATTATGCAAATTTTGAGGATGAAATTTTATGAGGGAAGATTATGAAGGCCAAAAAATTTGATTTAGTTAATTAAAATTATTAAAATTTAAATTTTGGTTAAATAAAAGTTATTGGATAAATTTAAGATTTAGTTGAGTCATCAAGAGTGAGATTATAGAAAATAAAAATAAGTTCTTATATTTTATTTATGCAAATAATTTGATTTAATTTGAAGGATACATGAATAATAAAATATTTGAATTTATGAAAGAAATTTGAACTATTGTTTCTATTGAACCTTCCAAAGGGTTTGGTTTCGTGCTTATTTAGAGAGAGAGAGAGAGAGAGAGAGAGAGAGAGAGAGAGAGAGAGAGGACGGGAGAGCAAGAGTCAAAGTAAGTGAAAGAGAAAGGGATGAAGCAGTAAGTGAGGTTGAGAGAGAGGGAGAAAGACCAAAAAAGAGAGAGAAAGCGCACCAACATGAGATGGATGGGAAGCCGGGCAAATGTGCAAGCAACAGGTAGGCGAGGTTGAATTTAGTGCAAGCATGGTCGAATATTAGGGCTACTCTTTCTTCTTTCTTTCAAATGAAAGGAAAAGTTTAACTTAGAGTTTTATTTCTTCAAATTGATAATCTTTAGCATAACTTTTATTTTCATAGAAAATTTTGTCAGGGTTTTGGCGTGAAGAAGAAGAGTAAATTAAAAGGATGCGGAGGTGGTTGGTAATTTTTGCAAAAGAAGACGGATATTTAATTAAATTTGACTAAAAATTTTAAGAATTTTATTATGAAATTTGAATGAAATTAAAAAAGAAATGATTTAATTATGAAGATATATCATAATATAAATACAAGGTAATGTTCTAACTTCATTTGAAATTAAGAAATTGGAGATTTGTTTATAATTCTAGGTTAAATTAAATTAGATGCTGCAAATATTTATTTAAATAAAAATATAAATTAATTAAATAAGATTTAAGTATTTCAATGGAGGAAAAACATAATGAAATAATGACAAGAAATACTATTATGTACATAGTTTAAATAAAATATTTTATATTAATGAAAAGATAATTATATGTATGGTATAGTTTGTTAGACATGTTAGACATGTAAGTAACCATAATAATAAAAAGGTAGTGAATAATTTATATTCTAAAATAGTAGAATATTAAATGACTTGGGCAAAATACAAATGTAAATATTTAAATTTCTTAACTATATGGCTCGAGTTATAAGCCTAACTCTTTGTTTGGTTAATAGATTGAATCAATATCAAAGTGTTCAATCAAGTTCAAGGAAACTAAGCTAATTCTTCAATGGTCAAGGCCTTAAGGCCATTATAAGGCGGTGTAGTCATATTGAAATGAATGCTATAGGTCTCTTATCATGTTTAAGCTATCTATCTTATGCATTGTTTATTATAGAAAGATATTGAATGACATGAGAAATATAAATGAAATAAAATAATTAGAAATAATTGCATATGTGTTGATTGATGAAGCTCATCCCTCATAGTGCTAGTTGGTGAAGTTAATGCACCCGAGCATAAACTTGAAAAAGAATATTGTTATTGAAGTATCATAAATGGTATAATTTTAGACTAAGCTTCTATAACGGATGTATTATATTAAAATGAGATACATACGATAAGGCATGATATGATTATTCTTTATTCATAATATTTAAAATCTCATACAATGTCATTTTTTAATAAAATGAATTATCAAATGATTTTATATTAATATATCTATTATAAAAAACTTACATGTTGTTTTCAAAGTTTCCTATATGTTAATATAACTTAGAGATATGATTTAATCACTGAGTTATGTCAATAGTTCACCATTATATTAAATCAATATTTTCAGGGCACAACTTTGAGAACTAAATTAGTGAGAGGATAGAAAATATGCATCATAGACGTGATGGGTAATGCTACAAGAAAATAACATTTATATTATAATAATTGATGTATTTTGATTTAAGATTTACTTCTATATTAGCAACATTTTCGTTGTATTGGATAATAATATTCTAAGAATGTTCAAAATTTTTTTACTTGGATGAAATTTAAAACTCCATCCAACCATCTCTTCCTACCTTAGTATTCAAAACTCCTTAGTTGGGGCATGATAAAAGTGGAATTAAAGCCAAGGTTGAATTTTGTAGTACTAATCAGCATGAAAGAGCCATTAGGACAATCAATGAAAAATGGTCATGAGAGATTTAGGAAGTTTGGGTTGACATTATATTAATTTTAACTAGATTCTAATGCCTTGTATATCTTAGGTCTATGGATAACCAATAATAAGTATGAGATGGAATAGAGGGAAGTTGGAGATCAGTAAATGTTACTGTCAATACAACTGGAACTAGGGGTAGTATGTATTAGGGATAAAGTTTTTATAAATGGGGGTAATTGTAAAGACCAAAATTTATTTAAATCTTGCAATCTTCTATGATGAAATTTTACAAGGAGAGGAGATTGTAAGAACTCAACATTTTCTTTAGTTAACTAAAAAAACTAAAATTAAAATTTACAAAAAATTTAATATCTTTAAATAACTAAATAGGGTCTTTACACAAAAGATGTAATACAATAAATACACATCTTCAATAATTAAAAGAAATGAAAATTAAAATGAAAGCTATGCATGCAAGTAATGAAAACAATGAGCAATAAATAAATGAAAAATTTTTTACTTCCAAAATCTAACCGATATTGACAGAATCATGGTAAAAATCCAAGCTGCATCCATACTTACAATGAAGTATATGGTTGAAAAAACTGCAATGGTCCAATACCTCCCCCAATATGCATCAGCTAAAACAGCACCAATAAGAGGGGCAAGGTAGCAGGTTCCTTGCCAAGTTGTAACGTTTCTTGCAGCTGATACATTGCCTTGATGTAGTTTTGTTGTTAGATAAGTTACAAGGTTTGTTGCAATACCATAGTAGGCTAAACGCTCGCAGCATTCAGTTCCTGAAGTTCAAAAATTTAAAAATATGTGATTAAGTAAAGGGAAGAAGACCTACAGATGAATATATTAATGAACAATGAGTTACAAATAGAAAATTGGTATTTTTACCTAGAATGAAAGGGCATGCTTTCCAATTTCCTGTTTTGTGCTTCATTACAGGATTACCATTGATGTCAACGGATCCGTCCCCGGTGTAGAGCCCCTCGCTTCCATTCTAAAAACACAAGGCAAGCAACAAGGGTTGCATTGGCCAGAAATTAATAGAGACATTTCTTCTAAAATTATCATTCATGATCTAACAGCTTGATTTTTGCATGGTCTGCATGTAGAATTTACTAAAACCCAATATTGATGCGAGCGGCCTTGATTGCAATTGCTTTAATGGCATATATTACAGCATAGGAATGACTATCCATACCCTAAAATAACGACAATAATGGGGCTTTTCTACGGTCAGATTTGAGTCAATTGACCAAAAGTATTAAGAGAGAGCTTAAGGGTTCGTTTGGGATGGTTTTTTTATTGCTTCTTAAAGCGGAGTTTTAGTTAAAAAAAATTTAATTTTTGTACTAAAACTCCGTTTTAAGAAGCAATAAAAAACCGTCCCAAACGAAGCCTAAAAGATTGTCATGCAAAAGAATTCCATTTTTATATTCGATGGATACAATGGAATAGTCAAATGATGCAAGTACTACGTGGTAGAACCATGTATCTTCTAACAAAGATAAAATGCTAGAATTGATCGGAAATATAATATAGATTATGTATTGTACTTTTCTGCAATATTAGAAAATCACATATTGTGTCATGCTTCGTTCAGATAATTTAGACTGTTTCAGGGTCCTCAATGGCATGAGATGTGTCCAAGGATGAACAATCCAAAACAAACATGAACCAAAAATATCAAACTACTTGCCCTGTAGAGTGCAGAACACAATAGATAGGGCCTGAGAAATTCATCTTAGAAATCAGCAAAATGACCAAGAATTAAAGGCGGTTCTAATGCGAGGGAGATGTGACGCCATTAGTCACTCTTATGAAGTCCAAATTATTTGAGAATTAATCATGTCAAGAGCATTAAAATTTTATTTATATATTCTTAATAACGTAATACACGAGATCACAAATCAATTTAGAATATTTGAATGACAAAAGAAGATGGCCTCATAACTGGTAAAAGAAAGTCATTTATGAAAAAAACAACCATGGAAACCATTTTAGATGATTAAGAAGGTCCATGTTTCCTTGTAACAACAGTAATTGGGATGGGCTATCACCTCTTGTTCGGTGAGCTTCAGTCAATTATAAAAGAGAAAAACAACAACTACAGCTTCAGATTGATGAGAATAAGTGCACAAGGCATCATCTTTCACACGATAGGGGAAAAATAAAAGATTCAGAATCTGGTAAGTGCTAACATGAAAAAACAGGAACAGAGAAAAACAAACAAATTGAATTTGAAAATAATGGACAATTTTATAATTCCTATAGCTCAGGAACATGATCTAGGCAAAATGAAAAGGGAAAAGACAAAAATTAAACACAAATACATAAACACTAACATCCGTTTTCTAATCACACATGATGCAATCCTCATTCTAAGCACTCTATAATTCAAAACAAACACCTTTGCACAGATTCTAATCTCTAAGGTGTTGTTCGGATTGCAGGAAAACGAAAGAACTGAAATAAAATTTCGATGGTTTATGGGGTTATTATGAACTTGAAGCCATTTATTTAAACCTTTTATAAATAAGGGATTTACTAGCATCCGGACATAGCCTTTACGAAAAGGGCACACTCCCGCACTTTGAACCGGAAATAGAATTTAACCGCTGAGGTTATCCATGATAATTCTCCATAAATATAAATCCTTTGCAAGAAAGCACCAAATTTTAATCAAGGAGAAGTGAAAAAAACTAAATCTAGAAGCTTAATCGCTCCGGGAGAGGGAGAGAGAGAGAGAGAGAGAGAGAGAGAGAGAGAACAACCTCCAAGAGCCTGCCTTCGAGCAGTAGCCGCTCCTCTTCCTGGGAACCCATGGCAACCAAGCGCAGCGTAGCACAGGCGACGATTTTCTACTCCCAATATACAGCGAGACGGAGGGAGGCGTCAAATAAATATAATACGAGCACGTCTCAAGGACCTCCTCAACCCAGTTGGCTTCCGGTTCCCGCAAGATATCGCGATTTCCACATTTTTACACTTTGAAATGCGGACATTCAAGTTTAACTCAAATTTGTGACCAATGAATTTTTATTAGGTCTGGTGTCCTGACGTAGCTCTACGTTCGGACGTCAGTAAAATGATGTCATGTGTTCTTACTTTTTATCGTGCGGCCCAACGACCCGATTCGGACTGGACCCAGGATTGCTATGTGTTGGCTGATTTGTGCATACCGGGGTATTGCTCGATATTGCTTGACAATAATGAGAAATATTATTCTGTCAAAACAAATATATAGCAATACCGAGCAATATCGAGCAATATCCCGATTTTGCTAGGTATTAGTCTTGACAAAGCGGTATTTCTCGCTATTGTCAAGTAATACCTAGCAATACCGAACAATACCTAGCAATACCAATACAATACCCGAACATAGCAATATCGGGTTTCGGTCCGGGTCCGGTCGTCGGGCCGCACGGTAAAGAGTAAGAGCACGTGACGACATGTTATTGACGTCCAAACGTAAAGCTATGTGAGGACACCGAACCTAATAAAATTTCCTGAACAAGGTACATTTTTAGCCTTAAAATAAATATATGTTCTGCTCGGAATGAACGGTGGGTATTTGCTTGATATAATAGTAATATTTTGAAAGTTTCTAACATATGGAGTAAAATTAAAGGGAAGAAAAAAATTTAGAAAATTGGATTTATATATCTTATAATATTTAAAATTAAAGGAATATGACATTATTTTATTTTTAAAGAAATATATTTTAAAGTTCATTTCAAATTAAAATATCTCTCTATAATTATATCTTGCCTTTACACTCCACGATTTCCTTCGCCTCACACAATTTCAAAATTGATTTGATCTTTAGCTCGAACAAAGTTCAAATTAGATTCGGTTTCATGTTTGAATTCAAATTAATTTTCCTTGAACGAGCTTCAATAAATAATCTTCAATAGAAAAAATAAAAATATAATTTAGTCTGAGATGAATTTTTAAATATATTTTTCTGAAAAAAATAAAGAACGAGCACATTTATCTAATTTTAGAGGCATATAAAGTCAAAATCTTCAAAGAAAAAGACCTCATAATTATAACTAATTTAATATTATGATTGTTAAGTTTGTTTATCTGTGCCTCACATGGCAAATCAATTGAGAATTTTGTGCGAGCGTTGACCAATTGTTTTATTGGTTGGAATTAACTTAGAACCTAGACGCATCTTATTGTATTATACATTTAAAGAATCCTCCAATATTGTGTGCGGTTGATTTATTATTAGATGGGATGGTTAATATCTGAAATATGATACTAAACAATTGCTGAAAAAACATATCAATACAAATATAAATAAAATATATTTAGATCGCTTATTATTATTTGGGGGGGGGGGCTTTTTTTTTTTTGGGGGGGGGGGGGACAATTTTATATTTTTCTTTAATTTTTATTTAATGTATTTTATCTTTGTAACTTCAAATAGCCCATCTTGAGTTATTGGTTAAGAGCTTTAGCTACCAATCAAAATGTCTCGGATTCGAAGCTTGTGTATCTTATTTATGTGTTAGTTTGCCTTAATTGGCCTAAATGTATCAAAAAAATCTTTGTAACTTCTGATGAATTCAAAAATATTTGATTGTGACATTAGAATCATATCAATAAGGATAGTTGGAGAGCACAAACAACAAAAAAGAAAAAAATAACTTAGAAAGAGGTGCTTGAGATTTCCACTTCATTGCTTGAAAATAGAAGACTGGTGTAGTATTCGTAGTTTATAACCCTCAATTTATAGATTTAAGTTGATGTGCGTTGCAGGAAAGACTAAGGCTTTGTTTGAAACAGCTTTCTTACTGCTTCATAAAACAACTTTATAGTACAAAAATTTTAATTTTTTACTAGCAAGCTGATTTAAAAAATAGTAAAAAAAACCGTCCAAAACGAACCCTAAATATAAATAAACTTGCTTAGCAAGGTATTGGGGTGCTTTTAACTATAAAAATAAATAGAAAATTCATGATAAATTCCAAGAAAGAATGAGTTTAGGTGAAGTTGTTGGTGACTTCATTTGGAGTTGATGTGTGGCTTTGGTTGTTTGGCCAACTTCATTTGGCAAATTGGAAGAGTAGTCTAGAAGACTTCATGTAATTTTGATGTAGAGTTGGATTTTTGTTGAGTATAAATGGGATATGTTGAACAGCCTTGGCAATTTGGTTATGCAAGTTCTTAGTGAGATTATCATATCTTTTGGGGACTTCAACTTACAAATGAGTTCATTTAGATGCATTGTCAACTTACTTGATTTTGCTTCATAACATCATGACCTGATTAATTCGCCATGGTGATATTGAGTGTTCATACTTTGATCCTCTTGTCTCTTTGAAGAAATCCAACTTGAAAGAGAGTGATAATTGGAGCTCAAGGTGAGCAGATCACTTTATTAACCTGTGGATTGTGTTGAACTAGCCAATTCATTACTTTATATTTGTTGTTATTTTAAAGGATTCCCTAACTTAAGTTTTTGACCGATTGCCTATACATAGCTTCTTCATAAGAACTTCTTTGAACCTACTTGTGTGAACCATTAAGATTAAATTTATCATTGCTCAACAATTATTTATTAATACTCAGCAAACAATTTTTGGTTTCACATCATCTATAAATTTGAACTTAAAAAAAAAAAAAAATTGTTTTAGATGTTTAGAACATGTAGAATTAACATATACTTATAGATTATGTTATGGATATGTTGACCCTTATTATCATAACCATCCATAAGAAATTAGAGATCGTTCCATTTCTCTCAAAATTAGCTTTTATAGTTAACGATTAATTTAATTTGGTTATTGTCAACATTTTAGACATGGAAAGGTGCCTAAACGATTTTTTATTAGGTCCGGACACCTGACGTAGCTCTACATCCGGACGCCTATAACACTCGCCACGTGCTCTTACTTTTTATCGCGCGGCCCAACGATCCGACCCGGACCGAAACCCAGTATTGCTATGTTCATTTATTGCTAGGTATTGCTTGTCAATAACAAGAAATACCGTCTGTTAAGACCAATACCGAATAATACCTGACAATATCGAGCAATACCTTACAAACCAGGGTATAGTTCGATATTGTTAGGTATTGATCTTGACACAAGAATATTTCTCGTTACCGAGCAATACCGAGCAAAACCTAGCAATACCCTAGTCTGCACAAATCAGCTAATACATAGCAATACCGAGTTCCGATCCGGATCGGGTCGTCGGGCCGCGTTGTAAAGAGTAAAAGCACGTGACGACATTTTATTGGCGTCCATATGTAGAGCTACATGAGGTGTCCAGACCTAATAAAAGGGTAGGGATAGGAAAGCCAAACATTTTGAATAAATGCCCCATGTCTTTAGCCATGAAAATAACTCCAAACAAATAATGTTTGCGTTATGTAGGGAGAATGAGAACACTTTAATGTTCCGGAAAATGTCATTAGCAACAATGGCATGCGTATATAAACATAATCAAAGAGCCATTTTATATAGCTCATCTTGACCAATTGGTTAGAAAGTTTGACTATCAACTAAGAGGTCTTAAATTCAAAATTTTCATATATGATGCGTGTAGGAGTTTATTTTTAATTAACTCAAAAGAAAAAAAAAAGGCCATTCTATCAATAAATAGATTTTGCTTTGTAAAATTTCACTAAACCAAGCTAAAACAAGGCATTTCAGTCAAGAACAATAAAATAAGGCATGAACTGAATTGTGAAGTGATCTAATACATCTTTCTAGACAACAAATTCACCTTTGAAATTGAGAAATTATTCGGTGCATACGGGAAAAACCGTCATGACATATGAGTATACACATCTATACACAATGTGTATCAAATATGTGTACACACTATTTATACACAATACGTATACTCACAATACAAATGATTCTTTCCGTCCGGACGCTGCACAGAATAATTTCTCTTTGAAACTAAATTGTAAAGTGATCTGACAATTCTTTCTAGACAACCAATTCTCTTGCTCAGATTTTCAAAAAGCTCATCTTACCACTGAAATCAGAACCACATTCTTTAAGGTTGCTATCAGAAAAAACAAAATCAATGAGTCATTATCATAAAAAAATGATAATTTAATAATTAAAAAACATAAACAAATAAATAAAACATTCCTTTCTCATACAAAATATTACATCCATATAAAACATCATTGGAATTCATGTCAGGTACATGCCTCGCCCTTGCATCTCCAGTGCCATCGTTAGCATTTCCGTGCAAAACTGGTCTTCCGGCTTCAGCCATAGAGCCTGGTTCTCCAATCAAAACAAGGCCATACATTTGAGCATTCACTTAAATTAATAAAAATGCTTTAAATAACAGGCTGGTGGATGCACCACAAATTAGTTTTTTCCAAGAAAAAAAATTAGAAAAGGATAACATAATCAAATTTTAATGAGAATGGATTTTAAAATTATTAAATTTACTATGAGATAATTATGATATATGAAGAATCAATTAAAATTTATATTGCACTAATCTCAAAACAAATTTAATGACTTCAAGACCTATCTTAATCAAGATTTAATAAGGATACACTAAGCAAAGAAAATGAAAAAAATAAAGAAAAAAGTTGGGCAAGGATATTCTGCCCAAATTTTGGTTATGATGGATTTCAAAGGCATTGGATTTTGCTTTGAGATTAGTGTAATATAAAGGAAATTCATGAAATTTTATATTGCTCTAATTTAAAAATAAATATAATAGCTTTAAGACTCATCATGACCAAAATCTGGTCAATTTATGCTCAGCCAAAATTTTTGCTATTTTCTCTACTAAGAAAGCAAACATGAGACGAAAATCTGCCCTTCTAAAGGAATAAAAAGGGTCATAGCATGGCGAGCACCAAAGAGGCTTCGTCGGCTCGTTGGTGGATGCATAATGAAATCTAGAAGATACCAGCTGGAAGCACATAAACATTGCATCGATGGAGTCTCAAATTTAAACCAAAGATTTAGTTCAAAAAATATTTATATTAAAAAGTGGTTTTAGAAAGCATTACAAAAAGTTGTCCAAATGAAACCTCAAACTTGTGATCTTCTTGGTTACAAAAAAGAAAACAAAATATTTAATTACTAGTTTACTACAGACCCGACCATGGGATCCAAGCAGAGAACCAACTAAACTAGAATAACCCTCAGAAGACTGATGAGTTAAATATAATTAGATAAGAGAATTAGCTAAACAAGTAAAAATTATTGGCAAACCTTGTGATAATAGGTAACGGCAGCATCCAAGTTATCCTGAAAATAGAACCATCAAATAGAAAACATGAATACGGCTACCAAATTGAAATAAGGAATGCAGTATGATGGCATTTCAGAACACAATATCATAATGTAAACAAAGCGCTCAAGTAGTAAGTTATCTTCACAAGAACCCAAAATTACATAAATGTATTCTAGTTGAATACTCGTATATACCTTCACAGGTGTCTAGCAGGTAAAGGAAGTCACATCCAACGAACCCCATAAATGAGCTTGTTTAGAGATCATCAGGCCCTGCTAGCCCGGGCTTACAAAAGGAGATCATCCCTTATATGGGGGCAATTAAGGGTCCTCACAAATCAAATAACAAGATGCTCACCTCATATGGCAGGTCGTCCAAGGAAGGGCAATTAAGGCTCCTCACAAATCAAATAACAAGATGCTCGTCTCATATGGCAGGTCGTCCAAGGAAGCAACATGCCTTCGACTACAACAAGAACACCCTTAACTCAGACTCGCCATCTCAGCTACAGGAAGTCATCTATTTAAGAAACTCCCAACTCGCTCCATTGTGACCACCTTACTAAGAAGTTCACCTTCCTTACAATGACAACTCGCTTGCCTTCATTTTCTCAGTGATCCACGGCTCCAATACAAATTGCAAACGACTTCAAAGCATTTGTTAGGAATAAGGACTCTCCTGTTTAATGCTCGTCGACAGACTCACTCAAGCGCACTTGGCAATACTGGACTTGCCAATGCTCACTCTAAGGAAGATTTTCCCTCCAACCAACTAGGGTAAGTCTGCATAGAGAGTATGTAAACCATTGTATTTTCTATTCTTTTATGCGTATCCTTTCCTATAGTCATCATATCCTGTAAATAAATGATGATGATGAGTATTTTGGATATTTTATTGACTAATCAAGATTTAAAACCTCTTAAGCACTTGCACCAAAGATTTTCTCTAGTGAATTATTCTCTCCATTTTCACACAGGTTCCCAAGTCCCACTTCTAAGAGTTTGCCTGCTAGTAGGGGTGGGTGTCATCTATGGATAAATGTGGATCCAACACCAATACTAACTATAATCATGTTATAATTTGGATGGATAACTGGAATATGGCAGGCTGATAGGCCAGTGAAGACAACAATAATGACAATATTGCTGCATCGCAAGAGCATCACATCACAATTGTTTTTCTCAAAATAAAATCTTATTCTAACCCTGTCGAAAATGATTGAAATCAACGAAATCTCAACAAATTGCCCTAAACGGGCAGATTTGGTTATATGTTATAATTGGATGGCAAAAATGGATCCATAAAGCCTTTCCGAAAAGTTCAAATAAAATTAAGAATGACAATGAAAAAGCGTAGTCTTACAGCTTTGCAATTTACTCTCATCACTGAACTAATCAACTATGCCATGTTTGGACGCTGAAATGGATGAGAGTAGTCTGAATTTCATATCTAAGCAGAATTCAGGTATGAAGAATACTAATTTGTCATAGGTGTTTCCTTCCACAAAATACAAAAACGGATTAGAAAAGTCAACCTTTTGTCATCATCACAACATAATTTTGTTCATGATGCTTTCTAGTCAGAAATTAACATGGAAGGACTAAAGCATCTCCTGAGGCACAGTATAGCAGATATAGATCTGCCCCACTTCAAGTAGTCTTTAAAATTGTAGAAATTTACTTATAAATTTCATCCTAAGGCAAGCACTGGTAAAACATAGCATTTGCTTGCAATAGTAAGAAGAAAAATCTTAAAAGCAGACGATACCATTAGATGATAAGTATATGCAAGACCAGCAAATGCACTCAAGCTTCGAGTGGAAAGAACAAGTGCTTTCTCATAATTCGATACAGCCTTGTGATACATCCTGTAAAAAGAACCACCTATCTATTAGGTTTAATCCCCTTAAAAAAAAAGCTACACAACAATAGAAATATCCTATAATTGAAAGTTCATGTTCCACCATAATTTCCTACTCTTATGAAGTGTATTCATACTTTAGCTTTCTTTGTGCATGAGCAAGATTCACCAAGGTTGGCTCCCACATTTCATTCATTGAAGATGCGACATTAACCAAAGTCATTTCAAACCATTGAACAGCTTTCGGATACCTGCAAACCCAACAATAACCAAAATACTTTCAGACATGTTCAACAGACTGAATCAGCGTTTCTTGAAAAAAAAAAAGGCATGTTATATTTCCTTGCATTCTAACTGAAATTTTTTATAGAATGTGTTACTGTGTGTTGAGTTGAGGTTGCAGGGTGGATAGTGGGGTGGGGTGAGCTTCCTAGAGCAAGACAGAAATGTGACTTGGCATTGACACCCTATTAAGGTACATGACCCTTGAATGAGACATGGCGTGAGCAACACCCTAAGTGGAACTGCCACCAGGTATGTCATCATCGAATAAGACACTGGTTTAGCATTACGGGTGCCAATCTGTGTTAATGGGTTAAGTTTAAGTTTGACCTAAAAAATGATATGACCTGAATGGAAATAAATTGGATTCAACCCATCTATTAAATGGGTTGAAAACTTCAACTCAAATCTAACTTGATGATACATGAACTTATCACAACCAAAATCAGTGTTACTAAAGGCAGCCACACACTTGCCTAGAAGATTGGGTGAGCCAACCTAGGCAAATGCCTTGTCTTGATAGGCAATGAGGAGAGCCCCTTACCTTTATAAGAAAAAAGAGCTAATTCTTTAAGGAAGCTAATCTATTGACATGGGTGATGGGGAAGAAAACGCTAAGAGATGGAGAAAAATGAAGCACAATAGGACGACTTTGACTTGTATGAGCTTCAGGTTCTTGAATAATGAACTTTGATGAAGAAAAGGATGAATTTGAGGGGAAAAAAATGGAGGGTCATGCATCTCATAATGGATCATAGATGATGATAAATGTTTTTCAAGAAATTTTCCAGAAGATCTTTTTATAATTTTCATTATGCATGCATGCCATGAAACTCAAATGCATCATGCAAATATATATGTAACATGCAAATGAATCATGCACGCATGATAAGCAATATATGAATGCAAAAGCAAACTTATGTAGTCGCTCACCCACATCTTACGCACATCACCATATGTCCTGATCTTCCACCAATTGCAACAAAACCAAATGAATCACACATGCACTTGTACCCGTGCATAGCCACAACCCTAATTGTGAATTTGCATGGATTGACTCGATCTCATCCCAATAATTTGCTTGCTACCCAATCAAATCCAATTAGCATTATGCAAACATAAACATAAATCCAAGAGAAAAATAGTCAACACACACAACCAACAACACCAACACCATCAAGCCTTTATCCCACTACGTGGGGTCGGCTACATGAATCATTTTCCTCCATTGTGTCCTATTAAAAGTCAAATTTTCGTTTAAATATAATAAAGAAATGTCATTCCTAATATTTTCTAACAAAGTCTTTTTAGGTTTGCCTCTACCTTTCTTAACATAAGTTAATCTAATACATCTACTCTCCTAATCGAGTCATCGGAAGGCCGCCATTTTATGTGACCAAACCATCTAAGGCGACTCTCTCTAATCTTATCTTCCATTGGAGCTACTCCAACCTTTTCACGTATATGCTCATTTCGTATCCTATCTCTAAGGGTAAAGCCACTCATCCACCTGAGCATCCTCATCTCTGCCAAATTTAACTTAGTATTATGCTTCTCTTTTAATGGCCAACATTCGGCACCATAAAGCATTGCAGGCCTCACGGCCATCTTATAAAATTTTCCCTTAAGTTTGAGGGGTACTTTTCTATCACACAACAAGCCCGAAGCATTCATCCACTTCAACCATCCAACTTGAAAGAAAAATAGTCAATGCGCATTGACTAAATTTGGATAAGTCTAGAAGTATGCATGAGGACTTCTAAGATTCAACATGTCTTTTTAGGGTTGTAATAAAGTTCTTTAAGATTGACTAAGAGTTTTTTTTGTCCATTTTATTGATGATAGTAGTTTACTTCCCATTCATCCCTTCATCCGCAAGATAAATTTGTTATTCATCACCTCTTCTTAAGGATGAATTTTCCATTTTTCTCTGCTTCATGATTGTATTTAATTAGCTTTTGCAGTTGAAGACTTTCTGTTCTTCGTTTAGTAATATTTCAACTATCCAAAATAGAGTTCTTTGTAACCCATAAGAAATATGTAGTGCAAGTCTACCTCAATCCTTTAGTGAGTCTGTTTTAGTATCATTTAATGTATTTTATGGTCGTCATTACTTGTATTAAAGTTACTATAAATCCTTTAAATATCATTTGTATTTTATATTTGTTTTGTGGTACTTCTATCATTTTCAAGAAAGCCTATTTCTATAAATAGAGCTCAAGATCAATCAGTTGATAATGAAATAAAATAAAGATTTACTTTTGGCCTCCATATGTGGATTCATTCTCCCATCTAGGATTTGTTGTCATAACTTCTTCCTCTCTATTGAATACCTTCCTTTGAGGCAGTCATTCATTTGATCTTTTAAATCCCATTTCTTTATGCCCCGGTTCTTCTCGTATACCAATACTTTCCTTACCATAAATTCAAAACAAAATTCCAATATAGTTTTTCATTCTCACTGTTCAGCTCATCGTCCTCATCAAGGGGGTGAGAGAGAGGGAATGATTAAACTTTTACATATCGCTACAAGATTTATATTTACAAATATTATTTTGTCCTTTCAGAAACAAGAGCCCACTGGCAGCCAAAAGTACAAGATCACTATTGCTCATATCCTATTAAAATAAATTGATATGCTGATGATACAACCAGACAAAAGCATCACGAACCATGAAAATAAAGAGTAGCATCCAAAAAAAAAACACATCATAAAACAAACACTTAAAAAAGAAGATAGGCAAAGGCAAAGAGACAAAGTTACTTACTCCTTCATATGATAAGCAACAACTCCAAGTTCATTATACACCAGAGGATCTGAAGGGCATATTGTCCTTGCCTGCAAAATGAACTGAAAAGAAAACCAGCAGAAAAAAAAAAGCTCAATCACCTCCCATTTTACTTTTGCTAAAGATAAACAAGAAATGCTTTCAAAATCCATTCATAGAAGAAAGGTTTTTTCAACCATCATATCAATAAATTTTACTTTCTAGTTTGACATGGATGAAAGAATGACAGCAAAACTAACAATGAAATTTGATGAAATTATTCCACAGAATTTACAGGACGCAAAGGAGAAAAAGATTCATGTAGAAACACTACATTGTGGGATAAAGGTTTGTTGTTGTTGTTGCAATCTTCCAAATTTACACCAATATGCTTCAGTAAATATAACAGTACTGAAAAAATACCAAAAATTTACAGATGGATGGTAGCTTCTATTGAAGGATACAGCATACACAAAAGAAAAAAAAAAGGATACAGCATACACAAATTTTCAAATATGCAAGCACCTTTATACTGCCTAATTTTCAGATGAGATGCAATAAAATTCAAGTATTCTTTTGCAATTGAGGCGATGGCATAACAAAGCCAGTCATGTACACAAATTGACGTCTTGCAATACACTTTTAAGAGTAGTTTAATTTCATAAACTGACTGGGCACCAGCTCTGTGCTAGCATAGTACTCACCAAATGATGCAGTTCAAACTAAAGAATTACAGTCATTGAGATGGTTATACATTTTCCTTTAAAAAGGTCTCGTATTTTTGTAGTTAGTGAATAAGAAATGCTCAAAACATCACCGAAACAATTAATATTCTATTCAATATTCCCACAAATTTAATCACCATCCTTAGACTCAACATCTAATTCAACACAAAATAACAAAAGACAAACTAATAGTACAAAAAAATTATAAAATAAAATTGAATGTTGTATACATAAAAAATTTGGCAGGTATTTTTAAAATATATTTAGCGTAAAAAAAATGGCAGGTTACATCAAAACTTGCGTAACTGAATAAGCATTCTTATAATGGAGAGAATCGATTTCTAAATAATTTTGGCATCACAATCCGCAAGTTTGATATTCAATTTGAAATTTCAATAGCAATGAAATATAGGAGGAACATTGTGATGTTGACCTCCTTATATGCTCCAGTATGCAACTAGATCAACAACGAAAAACACTGAGCAAAGGACATGAGAATGTACAAGTCCGGTTTGTAATGAATCACATTAATTCAAAATAATCGAATCATCATTAATTTTGCAAAAAGAAGGTACATTGATGCTTCTACAATGTCAAAATTATTATGAAAGAGTCCTCGTAGTCGATTTAGTCGAACACGATGAAGACTAACAATGAAAACATAATCATGCGAGTCTTGTTCAAAACATATTGATTAAAGCAAAAATCACTCGTTTCGCAAAACGGAGTGCGCTAATGCGTCCGGATAGTCAAAATTAGCAATAGAGCATCTCATGATCAATTCGATCAATCTTGACCAAAACAGCAAACATATAAGTTGTAAAACCCGAAAATTTTCTATCTTGAAAGAATAGTCCCTATTTATTTTCTTCTAGAGCGATGAGAATGTTTAATCACTAATTCACATTATCTATTTTGGACGCTCTCCTCCACCAAAGAGGGTCCGAAGTTTATCATTTCCTACCACTACTAATTTTGGTTGAGGATTAAAGTTGATTGACTGCTTCCCTCTATCATCTTTGTGAGTTGTTTATTATCTCTTATTAATGTTGTATTGAAAGAGAAAGGAATAATCCACAATGTATGGCGTTCAAAGCTTAACCACTTTTAGATTTATCTGACTCGGACAAGTTCAATTTCTAAAACTTCGCCACCGTCCAATAACTCCTGTAATGTAATAACAGATGCTATATATAAAAATAGTAACATCTTATCATCGATATTTCCCATTAATAGTTGAATATCATGATGATCTTCTAGTTGTTTCTCAAATTTCTTGCACATATTGCGCCAATAGTTATTTATTTAGTCACTGGCGCGTTCCTTTGCTTCTTCAAGGCAAAGTCAACAATGGTAGTCACTTCAATCACGCAAATGAATCTATTCACAAATAAAATTTTTAATTCTACAAATGTCTTCATGGAATATTTAGAGAGTTCAGTATAACATTTGAAACTAGTAAAGGTAAAACCAAATGATGACGTGGTGGAAGAGTAGAGCATCAACACCTCCCATATTGCCACAAGTCGCATTAAATAGGACCAAGTGTTGTTTAGGTTTATCACTGTCATTAAATGTTTTGAACTCCAATGTTCAATAACCCATCAAATACAACATTTAATCGTATTTGCCGGGTACGGGCGAAATTTTCCACTAACTTCTTCGCCTATTTTGAAGCTATGGGAACTTTAACTTTTTTCCTTAACGAGAGCTTCAAGTCACAAGCTTAGATATACTTGGAGTACATTGAGGAGTTGGCAGGAGTATTATCAAATTTGTTTCATTTCTCGCTTTGAACAAAGCGCTCTACACTCTAGAAACTTCGAGTACTATTTGCTTGGCGGATTGGTAGGAGCATTGCTTGTGCTTTGTTGGTTAATAGGAGAGGCAAGAGGATGGCTTGCAGCGATGTGCTCCTATATCAATTGCATCATCAGGCCTATTTATATTATCTTAGGAAACTTGAAATAATTGAGAGATTTCTTCATCCTTTGCTTTCATTTGGGGTTGTATTAGCTTCTGCGCCTCTAAAAAATGTAGTGTCAGGAAATAAAAGATTCTCCTCCTGCTCCTCTTCTCATTCATCTCATGAAAAGGAACCAAGATTTTCTGCTAAATTATATTGTACTTGTCCTTCAGGAGGGATGATAGTTCCAACAACAGTTGATCCAATCTCTTGGCATCATTAATAAACTTGCATGGGGGTGGCTTATTATTATGACCGACCGTATAAGCCACCTTGACCTCCACGTTCTCTTTTTCTTCCTCCTTTTCTTGAATTCAAATTTTCGAGCAACATTTCTACTAGATTTCCTATTCATTGTGAGGAATGAAGAATTCCGCCACCCGGGGACTGAGGTCAAATGTGGTGTCTTAGGAGTATCATTTCACAGGTAAAAATTATAGTAAGGAGCATATAAATCATAGTTCATGCCCATGCCCAATTGGGAACGAAGCATTGAGATCACATGCCATGACCGTCCTCTAACATTAAGGACAAGGGCAAACTTACGAAGAGCTACGGGTGGGAAAATAGAATCCCCAGCATATATGAAGTTTGAATACCCAGCACCACATTCATTTTCAGCATAATGCACCAGAAGTAAAAGCCAGACTTAATTTAGATTTTCAGCACAATTTGGATTGGACCTGATTGGATCTTTTATGCCAACAAGAACTGTAACTTGAACAAAGTCATTTTATTTTTCCTGTTTCCCTGCCATTTTTTTGTATATTGCCTAGTGTTTCTAGGCTCTGCAAGGCATGATCAGAACTTTACCATTCATTAATAGCAAAAGAATAATGTATCAAGGGTTCAGGCTTAAACCAAAAGAAGTATGATGGAGTTGTTCATATGAACGATCAATAGACATTTTCTGATACATAGTAATGCAAGGGAACGGGCTATTTCACGTAAAGAGAACAAGAAATAGCAGACAAATGCATCTGATTGGCAACAAATACAATGTGCCAGAACAAGTTTTTAAATATCATGAGATAACCAGTATCAAAGCTAATATTAGTAAAACTAGCATATAGTATAATATTCTATATAGCGAAGTTCATTGCATACCTGTTCGGCAAGTTTGAAATTGTGCGTTCTCATGTATTCCATCCCAATATATAATGTTGCTAGATGACACCTGAAACAAGCGAACAAAAGTGCCATTACAAATAGTGTTGGAAATCTGTACAGTTTTCTACCTGTCTTCGAATAGCTAAATCTTCAGTGTAAAATTATGCATTGATTCGTTTTATTCTGCATTTATTCTTCCTACTTTAGGTGTTTCAAAACCTGAGACTCACAGATTTATAAGAGAATTATATTTTCCACAAGAAAACATAGCGGGTTCGAATCCCTCTTTTTACTAAACCCTACAAGGATCATCTACTCTCAATTTTTGTCAACATTTTCAACGAAGCACTAATTAATCTTAAAGATCCATTGTAACCATTATTGCTGATCTTCTTCACCCTTTATTGTTGAATCCTAAATAGTCTTCCAGCCTGATCAGCACTTGTTGTTAACCATCTATTTTTTCAGCTTTAATTCATATCTTCTTCCCTTAGTTTTTCTTTTCTTTTCTTTTCTTACAAAGAATTAGGATTCTTTATCTTCTTCCCTTAGTTGAAATGTCAAAAAACAATGATACCATGTGTTATAAAGAGTGAATTAAAGGGGAACAAAGTTGATTGCATTCAAGGGATAAGATTATTCCTTGTAAAAGAAAAGTATATAAATAAGCAATATTTTTCCCATTTCTTAAAAAATGAAAAGCATATAATTTGAAGCTTCTATTAAAAGGATTAAGCCTAATAATGCAATAGTTAAGGAACAGTTTAACACGAAGAGGATTTAAAAGAAGCTAAAAAACATTTTTACAGCAATCCAACAACCAACTCTATAACAGCAAGCCATGCATCCGATAAAACTGCAATCTCTATAATCCAACGTTCAATTGAATCGAAATCCATTCTTTAAACAATTAAATCCACTCATAAAACACATACAATTGAACATGAACCAACTCCAGAAATAGAACGGACACACGGTCCTAACGACTCCACTTAGTCTATTCATGAAGGAGAGCTCTCATTTCGAGACCAAAGCAAATCCAAGAATCTAAATCAAGTGCTCAGTTCCTTAGATCTTCTCTTGTTGTATTGAACCTTTCATTAATGAGCTAGAAACCCATTTGTTTAATGATGTAACTATCCCTAAGTAGATTTTCTGATTTTGTCGAGAAAGAAACCAGAAGTTGCATCCAATATCCAATAAGTCGCTTAGTATGCTTCCACATATTATCAAGCTTACTAGCCACCCTAAGCAGGATTAAAAACCCTGAAACACTTCAAGAGGTACTTAAAGGAAATAATTGGGTACAAGCCATGAAAGGCGAAATAAATGTACTGTAAGGGAATGGTATATTGGGAGTTATTAACTACATCAGCTCCTATAGCAAAAAATGAATATGTGCAGCACATGTATCTTTAGCTTCCATTTTTAACAAAGCATTACTAAAGTTTGTTGTTAAAAAATTATTTATCATAAAATGAATTGGAAAGAGGTTCATCTCCCCCCTCCCCGTGTAGATTTGATGAAATTTTAGTGAAAATATGAAGTTCAAAGAAAGTAATGTGCAACTTAAAGCTAAATGTCATAAAATACTGTTCGGGATATTCACAAAAACTATGATAATAATGGGGTACCATTAGAGTCATCAGGATCATTCTCTATCTGCAAAGTATTCAACCATAGAAGAATTCATAACCTTACTGGTATTTGGAAATGACATTGCTGTGATAAGTAATAACCCAACTAAAGCAGAACCTCTCAGAAAATGTCTTGCCAAAGAGTTTACGATCAAAGATCTTGAAAGAATTTAGTATTCCTAGGGTATCCAAGTGGTATATTCCAAAAGTATATTTACTTATCCCACAACAGGTCATATATAGCTAATAACGTTAATATAGTCAGTCAATTCAAGTATGAACCAAAGGAGAGAACTTAAAACTCGTCCATAGGATTCTTCATTATCTCAAGGACCATTAGGAAGAGGGATTTTATTCAGAAGAAACAAAGAGCTTGGTCTAAAGGCTTATAAAGATGAATATTATGTTGGCTCTATTGTGCATAAGAGATCTATATCAAAGTTATTGTACTTTCTTAAAAGTAACCGTATAACATGGAGAAGTAACAAGCAAATTGTTGTTGCAAGATCAAACATGTAAACTTCTATGGCTAAGGATTAGCCTTTGTTATCTTAAAATCAAGATTGATGGGCCTATGAAACTCCATTATTCGTTAATAATTCCAGCAATATGGTACAACAAGACTACATCAAATAAATTGAAGTGGATAGACACTTCATAAAGAGGTTTGATAAACATTACTTACATATCATCAAGTGATTAACCATCTGATGTGATGATCAAGGGGCAACCTGCTGCAAGATTTAAAAAAATTGAAATGGAAAACATCTATTCACCAGTTTGACAGAATTAGGAGGAAATCTGAAATTCGCATATATCTTTTTCCTATAGAATAGCTAAACCTAGAATGTTTGTTTAATTCAACATTGATTACTCTAATACTGCATTTATTCTTGTTTCTTTACTTAACTCAAAATCTGCAATGCTTAGATTTGATGGGATTGACAGAAGGATCAAGTCCTTAACATAGCTTGACTCCATGTATAAATAAGTAATATTATTGCTACCTTGCAAGAACAACAACAAGCCTTTATCCCACATTCCCACTATATGGGGTCAGTTACATGAATTATTTTTCTCCATCGGATGGCTGACATTTTATATGATCAAACCATCTTGGCAACTCTTTCTAATCTTTTCTGCCCCTAGAGCTACTTCAATCTATTCACGTATATACTCGTTTAGCATTCTGTCTCTAAGTATAAAGCCACTCATCCACCTGAGCATCCTTATCTTTGCAACGCTTAAATTAATTTTATGTTTCTCTCTCAATGATAAGCCTTTTCAGGGAATCAAACATCAAAAAAGGAAAAAGAAAACAAAGCCAAAAATAAAAAAATAATAAAAAAAAAAAAAATAGAGAAACATCTCTTCCACAAGACAGCAATATAGCAAAAGAATAACTACTTTTTTTTCAAAAGAATGCAGCTTACAAAATTATAGGTATAACCTGCAAAACTACAAACTAGATTTTCTTAGAGAAACACAAATTCAACTCCACCAAACATTAAGAATACAAATGTGATGAGGACATCAACAAGATATTCCATAACGTCTATGACCGGAAGCATCGTAGATCGATGGCTACAATTCAGAACCTTTATTTTTTATATATGTCATGTACTAGTTTATTTTATTTCAAGTTTGACCATTGCACCCTTGCTTGTTTATTATTTTGAGTTGTAGCCCTGAGGGCATTTCAGTCTTTTCTTTCCTTCTCTTTTTGAGGCCTATATATGAGGCCATTAGTCTTGTATTAGGGTTACTGATTTATTAATGAAAAATATTTCTGGATTTCTTCTTGAGAGCTTGTGAGTTTTTGAGTGGTGAAGTCCCGAGGTGTGGGCAAAAGCAACACCCACCAATCGTCGGAAGTGTCATAGGCTCGTGGTTCGACTCCTTTCCCTTGCTTCAAGCCTCCAGCCACTCCCTCCCCACTTGATTTAAGCCGCCGACCACTCCTTCCCCTTGTTTCAAACCGCTGGCCACCCCCTTCCTCCACCTAGCCGCCGGCCCAACCCCGGCCCACCCTCCTCCTAACCGCCAGCCCCTAGCCACTCCCCCATTCATAACCACCGACCTAGCCCACAAACCCAATCTCTTCTCCCTAACCCCCTCTCCTAGCCGCCAGCCACATCTCCATTTCCCTCTTGATGATGATTTCAATCATCATTACTACATGCCTAAATTAGGCTAAGTGATTTGGAGAAATATTTAAATTCAATTTGAATTTCAAATACTTTACTAAATTAACTAAGCTAAATTAGGAAAGTTCCAAAATTTAAGTCTAATTTAATTTTAAATTAGATTTGATTTAATTATCCTTTTCCTAAATTGGATTAATGAATTAGAAAGCTTTAAATCCCCTCACAATCTCCTCTCTTTCCCCTATACATGTCGTCGGCCCCCTAACCCCCTCTCCTCTCTCTACTTCCATTACCCCCTAATTTGAATTTGAAACTCAAATTTTCAAAATTTAAACCCCTTTCCTATTTTAACTATTTCTGAAATTAATTTTAGATTTTAGTTGTCTTTCCATATTCCAAACCCTAACCCTAACTTCGCAAAACAAACCTCTCCCCTCCCTTGGCCGATCCGCTCTCCTTCTTCCTCGCCCTTGAACTTTCTTCTTTCATGAGTTATATTCCAAGAGAAAAAGAAGACAATCATCCCTTCTCGACTTTCTTACTAGTGCATGGCCGATCCCGAGCGTGACCACGGATTCGTCTATGACCCGCAAGGTTTAGTGGATATTCTTCAATCCCCTTTCTTCGACCTCAATTTGGAAGTCGACGACTCCATCAAAGATTACGTCAATCACATCCTATTCACCTTGGCACATTCTATCTAAGAACATCTACTCTCCCGACACCGGCGAATCATCGGACATCCACCCGCGTCTCCCCCTCCGGCTAACTTTCCTTGGATCAAAACACTTGGCGTCTTATCACTTTTGGTGGCATCATTAGGATTGTTGAGATTCACCTTCCGCTAAGACCTTTCCAAGAGCGTGAGGGAAACTCAGGGTGACTTTTTCTAACTGTTAAGTGGTGGATTTAAAGTTTACAGCATTTAAGTTTATGTTTTATGATTGAAGTTATTTTAAGTTCTTGTTATTCTATTGTGTAACCCATTGTCATAACAATAATGATAGTCTTAAATTCTTAAAATCCCATCTGATGAAACATTAGTTTACTATTACTGCGCTTAAATCAAGTTTTTATAAATTTCTAAAGCAATTCCTAATTTGTTTCACATCATAATATTATGCAAATTGAGGTGGAAGGTGTGGGAAAATTTATTATCTAATAAAATGATACCACGGTAAATGATTTGTCCACTCTTAATATCTTTTTTCATGCCTCATAAAGCTTTATTGCACGGAAGAATGCTAATGAGGCCACATTATGTAATAGGGTTTCCTGAGATACATTAGATGTTTCATAGGCCCACATTTACAGAAACTCTACATTTGAACCTCTAATAGGAAAGTCCATCAAGATCCTTTCTATACCTGAGCTGTTAGTTGAGGATGAAATGTCAAAAGTACCCTTAGCTATTCCATCTCACATGGTTTTCGCTTATTTGACAACTGTTATCGCAAGATGCAAAATTGTAATGACCGCCCTCACACTGGCAAGCTCTTGTAGAAAGAAACTCACCAGGATTGACAGTCTCAGCTCCAACGCTTCACAACGTGTTGTAACTAGCAACAAGAACACGTGTCAGTCAAGGATGTGAGGAAACTTGTAGCAGACAACTTTTGGAGACACTATGGCTACTCCTCTGATGGCCACAAGCCGTGAACCAACTTTATGTTGTGTGGACAGGAAGTGTAAATTATTCAGTATCCTCAAATCCACAAATGCTGAGTCTTCTCCATCCTTTTTTTTTTCCTCAAGCTATTACAATTATTGCTCTTTTCATTGAAAAAACTGAAAATAATAAAAAAAAATCATTGCGCTTTTCCTTTCCAATTGCTATTTTCCTTTGTTAGAAGAAAGGAACTATTTTCTACAATTTGTTTATTATATTTTCCTACATAACTATCAACAGACACCAACTCATAGCACATTCTTGATATCACTTGGCATAAAAGCAGAGGAAGATGGGCATCTAACGACTTATACTGACTCAAATTTTACTCTAAGAAAGATATGTCCACTGCATTCATCAGCCATCTTCGCCATACACCATTACAAACGACACTGAAGGTTCCTTACAAATTTGTTCGTCATCCAACAAAAGCTCCGTTGTTTTCTAGTAAGATATTCACCCTGTCAGTCCCAACTCCCAAGCCCCCATGTCTGGAGCTCTACAGCATCAATCACTAAGTCTCACAAAAAAAAACCAGTGTAAAACCGTTACTTCCAGCATTGAGCTTCATGCCACAAAATGAATGAGAGAGATGTATTTTATCTGAGAATGCCACAAAATGAATGAGGAGAAATATTTTATTTGAGAATGACAGATAGTATGAGGAATAATTAGTCTGACCAGAACTCCAATATTTAAAATCAAATCCCAAAATGTATCATGTGACCTAGATAAACAAAAAATAAAGCATCATTAGTTGAAAAGGACCTCAATGTAGACTGACATTACACCTCATGGACCAATTTGTGACATAGAAAAGTGTTGAGTACCCGCATGAAGGGTTTTTAAAACCGTTGACCTATGTGAACAAGCCTAATACAGAACATGCATTATACCTGCAACATATGGAAAATGATCTAACAATAAGAATACATTACCCAGGAAATAAACGAGCCGCAGTGCGATATGCAAGCATTGCTTGATCAGTCTCTTCTTGTACAGCATAAGCATTTCCAGAACCTATCCAAGCAGGCGGAAAGGTGGCATCTACACTAGTCGCTTTGCTGCATAATAAAAGAAACACAACAAAGGTGACCAAACATCTGAAATTGTTATTTTACCACAAATGACACCTAAAAAAATGCATACACAGTTAATAAGAAATAATCTATATATATTTAAAAGATGGCTTTACATACATACCACATACTATCTAACACAACTTTGATATTTACTTATATAACACTTAAGTGTCTCAATAACATCAAATGTATGCATGAAAAGGGGTATTTCACTTTAAAAAAGCTAATATTAGCAGTTTATTGATGTGATTTAAAGATTTGGATGCTATATAAATAAATATTTAAGTTTAAGACTTAAGATTTTATATGTGTATATATATATATATACACACGTGCGCGCGCGCCTAAGAACTTCCTAGTATAAATGTGATATGAAATACTTGGGTTCGCAAGTAAACCTAAATCAGTACCAAAACAACAGAAAACTGCTATTTTCAGCAGAAAAACAGCAAATCGCAGCAGTTTTAGTGGAGAAAACTCAAGGAAAATATAGAAAAACAATGTATTTCACTAGTAGATTCGAGAACGCAAACAAAGATACAATTTCCTTCAATCCGAGAGGAAGGAATGACTCTCCAAATCTCTAGCCGTAGCCTAGAGCCCAAGAAAAATTGCACAAGACATAAAGTGGCAAGTGATAAATTGTACAAAATAGAATTGAAATTCAAATATTATAAGAAAAAATAATATAAAATATAATAATAGCATAAAAGCATTATACTATATCAAGTTCAACTCAAAATTATTTTTTTCTCAATTCCCCACTCATCCACATTTAATTCCTAAAAAAAGTTGAAATAGTTGTCAGCTCAGAAATCATTTGGAATTAAATATGACAAAGGCAGTGGGCTGGAGGTAAAGCCAATAGAGAGGAAGTTGTTACAGCTTGGGGGTGTATGAAAGAGTAATTTGTTTGAGGCTTTAGTTTAGGATTTAAATAAGTTTTAATTAAAAATATTTATGAATAGGGTGAAGCATATGCCTCACACCAATGAGCCGAAGGCGAGAAGCATCTCAAGATGAGCCTCAACCAAGTTAAAGCGGAAGCCTCATAAAAAAAGCTAGAAGCGTCAGCCTCAAGACCTTTTTCACTGGAATTATGCTAAGTTAGGCCTCAAGGCGAGCCTCATATCGCGAAATTTTAAACAATGATTATAACTATAGATCGATAATTGCATTTGGAATTGTTTATTAAAGAACACTCACCTCCTTTCATTTGATGGAGCTTGCACTTGTGGTCTCCAAAAATTCGCATCACAGCCTCTCCGCGCCTTCTTTTGTTGACGGGGAGAGTTTTAACGGATTTAGGTCTCGAGATAAATTATAGTCACTACTAGAGCTTGTAACTTCCCTAATGGCTTAAAAATCCTTGAGTAATGAATTATAAGATATACTTGATAAAACATAAAATTCTCTGTTAGATAAGGTCAACTTAAATTATCCCTTTAGACAAATATGTAATACCTAAAAGTATCATGTAAAAATATAAATTTATCTTAATTAACTTATACCCTAAATTATTAACTTCTATGAAAACTACCAAAAATTATATGATATATATAGCTATATATTAAATTATAAGTGTGGAAGTATCACATTAATTTAAGTTTTCATTTTTTCTAAAGTATTAAATTGTTATTACAATTAATTAATGTAAATTACTGAAGCACAATATTATTAATATTAAATATTGTCAACAGTAATGAACTTACTATATAAGTATTGTTAATTACTAAATAATTACTATTATTTAATTTAAATTACTACAGTACTAGCACTACTACTATTAAACTAAGCATTCCACTAATATATCATTCCATTAAGCAATGCTGCAGCGACTGAGTTTTTTGGAGCATCCACTGATTCAACCATCGTGAGGCTAGGAATTAGTGGCGTGAGATTAAATAGGATTAAATATACAATTTCACCCTCCATTCAGTGGTCTTTCCGCCAGGTACTGCTTGCGGGTTTTGTGGGCCGAAAAAGGAGCATAAGGAGTTAGGCTAAGATCTGGAGAGGCGAAATTCAATGGAAGCAGGAATGCCGTCAGGGTGAAGTGATTAATTCAGTGGAAGAAGAAAAAGAAGGGAGAAAGAAAGTTTAGAGGAAAAGGAAAAGAAGCAAGAATTTTTTGTAGTATTATAAATTTCCAATTCTTTGTAAAGTTCCTAATTTAGATTACCCAAATATTATTTGGGATTTTAACCGGTATATGAAGAGGGGAGGTTGCAAGGTAAAACTGTTATTATGGCATAAATTGATTTTATGCATTTGATTTGAAAAATAAATTATAAGAATTATAGGATTTAAGAAATGTAAATCGTGTAGGCGATGTACAACTATAAAAAGTTACGATGTGTCGGAATCGAGGAGGCAACTCATCACGGGGGTAAGAAATACAAATTTTAATTTAGAAAACAAATTCTTTATTTTCTTGGAATGTACAGTTGCATTTGGGAAAATTGAAAGGTGAAGTGCATTAGATTTTCTTCGTATGGTTGTGTTCCTACGGCCAAGTATTCAGGTATGAACAATTGCATGTATATTTTAATAGTCCAAGCTTAAAATAAAATCATATAATTATATAAATGTTTTCCTAATTAGTTTTTTTTTTTTTTTTTTTTTTTTTTTCACTTTTTTTTTTGTGGGGGGGGGGGGGGGGGGAAATGAGTTTATTTATAACATTTTGATTCTTCTTATACGAACACTATAATAGGTATATTTTTTATATTAAGTCATGAAACAAGTAATTACCAGTCAAATAATAAATTAGAAATTGTTAAGCCGAATGAATAATATATTAGATGATGGTTCGCAACGAAATGTTATAATACCTGCACAAGTGGGGCAAAACGGACCTCAATGGAAGCATTAAGATCTAGTTACAGTACCAACGTTGGTGGGGCAAAAAGGGACCCCGATGGAAACATTAGGACCTCAATATAATTCAATGGAGATAATGCTGGATTTTATATATACTCCATTAAATATTACTATGAAGTTATAAAAAAAAAACTTTATATTATATAATAGTCAGAACCTGAGATATCTAATTATGATATATATTCACAGCCATCAAATAAAATAAAAGATAAAAAGTAAGCAATAAATAAAGTATTTATATGTATAAATGCAAAGTGTAATGTTTTAATCATTAAAGTACGTGATTTGAGTTTACCAATGGCACTGTGGTAAACATGCTGTTATTATTGTTCATATGAGTATATATATGTATTAAATTATTTACAAATAATTATTAAGTTTAGTTCAATTATGAATGCATTCATACTGCTCACTATATTATTTCATTGAATTCTTTATTAGAATTACAAATCTTTCTGAGTCTCAAAACTCACAAGATTTTTAGTCTGATTGTTGTTACAGGAAATGATAAGGATAAGGTAAAAGCCGAATAGACTAAGGTCAATTTTAAACTTTATGTTTTGTTGTATAGTTGTGTAAGATGAGTCTTCAACAAAGATATGTAGGATGTTAGTTATGATAATATTTTGGGGTTCTTAGCGACTCTATAATGATATACACATATAAATAAAATATTTTGAATGATTCTATTTAATAGAGAAATGTGGTGAAATGTAGCATGAATATATGTGGAATGAGTATGAATTATGAGCTTTAAATGTTGAGAATTTTTTTTTCCTGTTAAACCCTACATTTTTAGTGGAGGTATTGTGGGGTGTGACAAAGCACTTATCCCAATTCTACAAGATTCCCTTAGACTAAGCAACTCATAGCTAGCTATAAAAATCCTTCAATTATGTTGGGTTGATTAACTCCACTGATTAAATAGACTATGGCGCATGACAACCCGAGACCACATAGCCATAGGATCTTAATTGGGCTCATCAACATTCCCCATCAGCCGCCATAAGCTTACAGCAAAAAAATTTCTTCAATTATAAAATCAAATCATTGCTAATATATGTTAATCATTTAGCGTCTATCTAATGACTAATATTAATAAAAAATTCTCTCGACACCAAGAGAGATAATTAACAATAAAGACTTGCACCAATACAAAACCTATAACCATATATTAAAGTCATCATAAAATGAAGACAAAATTTCTAAGTTGTCTTATCTTCAATCTAATCTATCTTCTAAAAATTTAACCCAGAAACACCTATACTCTCTCAATAGAGCTGGGGCAAGAATTTTCAGACTCCGCACAAATAGTTTTATATTTTACTCTTATTATAAAGATTAAGCTATGAGACCCACCACAACTAATTAAAGATTTCATAACTTATAATGACCCATGAAGGAGGACTCCCTTGTGTTTGATAATTTTTTAAATTGCTAATATTTCTTTTGAATTTTTTTTAAGCCCATGAAAAATTCTATAATTTTATCAGAAGTAGGGCCCACTATAATAATCAAGCGGTTTCACCTTCTCTATCAAACCATAAAGAGATACTCCTATTACATAGAGTTATAGTTGATTTTATGGTAATTAATTAGAATTTTAAAGCTTTAGGGTCCGTTTTGTGCATACGTCACTCTTTAAATCAAGAATTGATTAAATGAAACCAAGGGTTACAATAGATTAAACTCAATTGAATGATCAAATTGGTACCAACTATGTATTAATATGAGGCAAGAAGAAAATTTAATTAATTTTGTTAAAGATCAAATTTATCCAACAAATATTTTAATCATGCAAACATTAGATAGAATAAACTTATGCTTAATTTTTAATCAGAAAAAGGTCAAAATGATTCCTGAACTATTTGTACAAAATCAATTTTATACTAGCTATCTTATGTGTTCAATTTATCTCTTTAATTCCTCAAATATCATCCAAAATAACTCTTAGTTGGATTATTTCAGATCAGATTTGAGAAGTCGTGGGATTATTTTGGATCATAATTCAAGATTGAGGTAATTCTTTGGATCAAATTTAAGGAGTCAAGAGACAACAATAGACACATAAGATAATTAGGGATTAAAAACACTCCATA